TATATATATATATATATATATAGGTGTAATAATAAATTTAAAAATAGCTACTCCTATATTCAGTTTGGTTCGGTTTTTTTTAATTAAAACCAAAACCAAACGAAATTTGATCGGTTTTCAAATTTCAAAACCAAAACCAAACCAAACAAAAAAATATCGGTTTTTTTGGGTGGTTTGGTTTTCGGTTTGGTTCGGGTTTTCGGATTTTTATGAACACCCCTAATGATAACTATACCCTATGGGTTCTATGCTTTTAACATATTTTGAATTCATAGTCAGTTGTGTGGATGATATTGACGCTTTTTTTGGGAAAATTTTCAGGAAACCCCAGTCGTTACCCTTTGGGTGTGCACTGGCTAACCTGTTCATTGTGCAATACTATCTCGCAAACTATATAGGAGATATAAACTGTACTACGCAAGTCCGATATGACGAGCTCTGACTGAAGAGGCTGCTGGCGAGAGGAATTGGTCCTTTCCATGGTGGGAAACCACTCACCAACCAACTTACCCAACCCTTGCGGGTAAAAAAAAAAAGGTAAGTTTTTGGTCTTGTTCTCAACCAAGAGAACAGCAAAATAAAAAGAATGTGTTTATTTCTACTTGAAAACATCCTGATAATTTTTCCATGCACTAAGAAAGAAGAAAGAAAGATACTACTACTACACAATAGTACGAGTACTATCTAATTAGAATTAAACTATAAAAGTTACTACTTCCCTTTGCCCATCCAAATACTTTTCCTAACCTTATTACCACCATTTGAAGGTTCTCCTTTTGCAGCAAAAACAGACTCTTCTTCCTTGACTTCATTCTTGGAACCACTTTTCACTGAATTATTGGCTTTGTGGAATTTCATTGGATCGTTGTTGTTCAAGCCGCAAACTTTGTAATCCTTACCCTTTTCCTTTGGATTCTTGTAATGAACCATATTGGCTAGACCAGCACCCTTTCCATTTTTAGTAATATACTGCCTAAGACTTGGTCCTGAAGAAGCATCAGAAGCCATGGAATCATCAGTATCACCATCTTCGTTGTCGTCGCGATTAATGACTTCTTTATTATTATCTTCTAATTCATCAAAATCCTCATTTTCCAGCTCATCATCATCCTCACCATTTGAAGGAGAACCAATGTACATTGTCCACCCTGATTCACTGCTGTTACATTCTTCTGCTTCTCCAAAAAATTTGGAATAGTCCATTTCCAGTGCCAAAAGCAGAACACTCAAAAGTGAATAAAAAAGGATGATAAAATACGAGAATTAATAAGAGTAGTGCATTTAGATGAATTAAAAGACAGAAGAGTGGAGTTGGTAGTGCTGATGAAAAAGGCAAAGGAATGTAGATGAAAGAAAAACACCTGTTAATAACATATGTTTTTTATCTGCACAGACCAATACAGCTCTCCCACACAAAGAAAGAACGTGCCTAATCTTATACTTTTGAAAGCAACCCAAACCCCTGTATTTATTTTTGTTCTCCCTTTTTTTCAATAGCTGGAATTAAATTTTTACCTCATGGATACATGTACATAGCCATTATTTCCCCTTACTTTATATCACCAAAGGGACAGGTAGAAGCTGTTAAATATGATAGAGATACATGTCTTATACTATGCACCTATTGCTCGGACTCTCCAAAATAGCTGCCGCACCCGTGTCGGATCTTCCAGAAATATTTTCAGAGGATCCGTGCACCCATTGATATTTTCGGAGAGTCCGAGCAATATAGATACGCACGAGACAGTAGAATATCATGAGAAGAATGAGATCCTTCCACTTTTTATAGCCGGACTTTTGCGCCTCGAGCCTTGAAAATAGAGAACGTAATATGATAGAGATGCATGTCTTATAAAAGGCACTAGACTAGAGTGTCATGAGATGGATGAGATCCTTCTTCCAATTTTAACCAGACTTTTGCGCCTCGAGCCTTGAAAATAGAGAACGTAATATGATGGAGATACATGTTTATAAAAGGCACGAGATAATAGTGTCATGAGATGGATGAGATCCTTCCACTTTTAACCAGCCGTTTGCGCCTTGAGCCTTGAAAATAGAGAACGTAATATGATAGAGATACATGTCTATAAAAGGCACGAGATAATAGAGTGTCGTGAGATGGATAGGATCCTTCCACTTTTAACCAGACATTGGCGACTCGAGCCTTGAAAATAGAGAACGTAATATGATAGAGATACATGTCTTATTAAATTAAAGGCACTAAACAATAGAGTGTCATGAGATGAATGGGATCCTTCTTCCACTTCTAACAAGACGATTGCACCTCTAGCCTTGAAAATAGAGAATGTAATATGATTGAGATACATGTCTTATAAAAGGTAATAGACAATAGAGTGTCATGAGATGGATGTAATCCTTCCACTTTTAACCAGCTGTTTGGGCCTCGAGCCTTGACAATTCTTCTCTTTGGTGGGCCCCACTGCATGAATTCAAATTAGTCGGATCCGATACAATGCATAGAGGAAAAAGAAGGCAGGAAACTTTCCTTTGAGTAAATGTGAAAGGACAGAATTGGGGCTGCTCTCACTTAGGGTCATAGGTTTTAACTGGTGAAGAGAAGATAAAAATATTTATTGCTTAGAATTCTGAACATGACTTATTAATAAGAAGCTGTAATACTTTGATGCAAAATACAGAGGAGGTGCACAGCCTATGAGCTAGTGAGAATAATGTGTATAAATATTGTGTAGCCTTTGATCTTAATTATGGGACAAATGAACCTCCTCACAACCCTCATTTATTTTTCACTGCCTGATTTTGTATGTCATGTCAAAATAAAACAAAAAGCATGCGAGTAAATGAAAAATGCAGCTTTTCTTCTGTGAAATTAGAAGAAGCCAACTGGAGTTTTCTTCTAATAATAGTAGTCTTTTCAACAAGCAGTGTAGATTTGTACCAAGAGGGCAAATAGAAGTTTTAATTAACATCTTTTTAGTCTCTCTTCGTTATAATCATTTAGTATCCAGAGCTCACTGATTCAACTAATCTTGATTTACATTGCGTACTAAAAGGGAGAGCACACCCTATCAGGACTTTCTCCATTGTCAAGATTCAAACTACGACCTTTGGGTTAGTGGCAGAGCCACCTTATAGCAAGGGGTGTCAACTGACGCTCCTTCACGATAAAAATATACTGTATATGTAGGTAAAAAAAAATTATATGCATATACACTATATGTTGACTTCCCTTAATTTTTTTGTATATTTACTTTTATATATTTTGACACCCTGTGATAAAAATTCGGGCTCCGCAATTGCTCTAGGTAGTTAGTCAACTTCTTTCACTCTTTATTATTTCTATTCTCTTTGGTCTTTTCATCTGATATTTTCCCAAAGCCTTGTTGGTGCATCACAATTATGCTTTCTAAAACCTTTTTACTTTTCCTTTATAATACAATTATTACATGTTAGGAATGATCTTTTTCCAGTTGTGGTAATCTTGGACGGTGATCTGGCAAAATGGTTAGATCTAAATCTTGAAAATATTTTTGTTGCTAGAAGACCTAGTTTATTGGATTTTTTGAGGGGTCATTTTTTCTTAATATTAAGGGAAAGAACAAAAGGGATTTAAGATTCAGAACAATGTAGGAATGGGACATACCTTGCCTTTAATACCCTTTTTAGTTGTTCCTCACTTGTAAATCCTAAAATGACAGACAATTGTGACCCATGTTTTATTCTTGTTTCTTGTCCTTTTTAGGTGATCATGTCTTAAATTGCACTTTTCTTGGGCTCCATGTGATTTAAGCAAAAATATCCAGCAAATTCTTTTTGGCAATAAGACAAAATATCCCATGGCTGGAAAGATTTCAATCTAACCAGGCCACTTCACTTTTTTGCCCTTTGTATGTAAATGTAATGTGAAGTATAATAGGCATGAGGGAACAATAAGATAATGTTTGGTAAGTGTTCAAGTCAAACTTATATATGACAAATCTATGCCTTTCCCATTTCAAATGTAGGTACGTATATGTATTAAATTGCTAATATATTTTTTCTCGGGCTATTATCAGAACAGTACAAAATTTTATTGCTAGGTCCACTCATTGAACAATTATGGTTCATCCTATATAACTTAAAACAGTTCATTGAACAGTTTTTTGTGATTAGAGATATTATGAAGTTGCTGCTTTTTTCTTATGGAACTTTCCCTCCATAGGTATTACTTAATAAGTTACTATTGTCAAATGTAACATATACTCCTTAATTTTAACACAGTTGGATACTATTTGGATGGTGGTTCCTAGCTCTAAGCATATAATTAATTAAGGCAAAAATGATACTGTGTAGCCACTCTCAAAATAATAACCAAATATATATATATTATGTATATTATATACAAATTTTATACACTTTTTAGACTACTAAATAAATAGTTTCTGACAGGCTAAAAGTGAAAAAATCCTATTATTATGGCTTAACGTTGTCATACCTATATCAACAAATACAAGTGGTTGGTGCATCAGTTGAACATGTATATAGGTGTGAATTCGGCAAACTTGGCACACCAAAAAAGAAAACCACAATATGCTACGTTTTAAAAGTATGTTCTTTTTAAATGAGCGATCACACAGTTCAAAATGGTATTAGAGCACACAATATGCTACTTGCTCTCCTCTTTATTCCAAATTTCACGTGCTATTTGTTTAAAGCTTGGGGAAAATATTACTCCCTCCGTTTTAATTTATGTGAACCTATTTCCTTTTTAGTTCGTGTAAAAAAGAATGACCCCTTTCCTTATTTGGAAACAATTTACCTTTACACAATAATTTATAGCCCCACAAAATATATATGCCTCATTTTACACCACAAGATCTCTCTTTTCTTAAACTCCGTGCCCAGTCAAATGGGTTCACATAAACTGAAACGGAGGGAGTATATTAAACCAATCAAATACAGTAATTATGTTCTTTTTTATTAGTGTCACCCATAGTTCTGTATAACGGCATGTTTGAATTGCTAGTAATCTATTTTAGGGAATGTGAATTATGACTTTCTGTTTTAATATGCCAAAGAATGTCTTCATTGAAAAAATGGATATCATAGCATCATGTGATGTTCGGAGACAAATTTGAAGAAAAATAAGGGGGGGGGGGACCTTTCCAGAATATGGAATTTATATTCAGTCATATCATAGCAATGCAGAAATAACAACTGGAAAATCTCCTTTTGCCCTATGGTTAATTTGAGATAGGAAAGTCATAAAACCCTTGTCTGCCCCATATTTGTCAGTACCAGTGAAGCTGTAAAAATTGAAATTACAAAGCTGGATAAATATTGGAATTTTTACCTCCTATAGCAAAGATTAATACCCTATTTATTTTAAATAAATATCATTTTAAAAATTATATTCTATAGATACCTTTTAATGTTTATAGCAAAATATCTAATTTTAGTTACCTCCTGCCTCTAAGCCACTAAATACCTATTCAGTTATACTATTTTCTTTCTCTCTCTACTTTGATACATGTCCTTCTCTTCCCCCATTCCCTGAAAACACGATGCTCAATCTCAAAATTCCTCTCACCATAAATATCCAGTGAAACTCCTTGCCACCGCAGCATTTGATACGCCACCATATTACGTAGTCAATTACTCCCTCCGTTTCAATTTATGTGAACCTATTTCCTTTTTAGTCCGTGCCAAAAAGAATGATCTCTTTTCCTATTTGGAAACAATTTACCTTTATGCAATGATTTATAGCCACACAAAATATATGTGCTTCATTTTACACCACAAATTTAAAAGTTTTCTCTCTTTTCTTAAACTCCGTGCCCAATCAAATGGTTTCACATAAATTGAGACGGAGGGAGTATTAGATTCGCACCGGTCAAAAATGCTAGAAATTCCCACTTTTTTTTTTCTGGAGAAAGAAAAACAAAACAAAGCGTTATTACTGAAAAGTATTTCAAATTGGCGATCGACAACCAAGATATCACAGTCCGTGAAATCAAGCCTAAGAACAGGTGAATCATGGTAAAGTTCAAGAAACCACCTATCGTTTTGGCTTATGTTATATGGTGAAATTTCTTTTCCACGGTGGGAACGGTGAGATGCAAGGTTTTTGCTCGACAGCGGATTCGTCGGAAATTAGGGTTTGTTCTTAAACAAAGACAACAGAGTTTGGGGCTGAATAACTTGATTTTCTGTTAATATATTTCAATGTATTTTCAACCTATCACGCTGTATTTTCATGTATTTCATTGTATTCATTGTCTTTTTTTAATTGTAATTCAATGTATCTCGTTGTATTCCATGTATTTCATTGTATTCACTGTCTTTTTTTTATTGTATTTCAATGTATCCCGCTGTATTTATGTATTTCATTGTATTCACTGTCTCGCTATATGCCATGAATGTATTCATATGTTT